AATATTATATTTGTATGATTATTTTATGAAATGATTAATGAATGATAATATTTTTTTAGATTTCATTATCACGTATCTTTATTTTGAAAAGAAAAAAAAGGAATTATATTATTTTTTAATTAGTAAAATATTTAATTTATATATAAAAAAATTAATTTGGTATTCCCAAATTTTTTATCCAAGTTCCGCCACTGCCCATCCCAATAATCATGTTTAAAAATAATACCCATACTCAACCTCATACTCATGTGAATAGTAATTTTAATTCGCATTCTCGTACCCGCTAAATACCTGTGTACCTATACCCGCACCTTTGACCCACATTTTATTTATGTATAAAGTAAATAAATCAATAAAGAGATAACATTTCACACAAGCAAACATAATATTAATTTGTCAGGATTTTAACATTACAAAAATATAATATAACAATTATTATAAATAAAGATTACAAAACATTCAATTCTTATAAATAATTTTTTTTAAAAATTAACAGAATATACGTTGTAATATTTTTTTAATTAATTTTATGATTATTATTATTATTATTATCATCTTTTATTTAAATAATTATTGTTTATTTATTCAAATTAAAAAAATACCCTTTAATAGTTCTTACATTATTATTAATATTCATTTTTTCATATTTTTATATGATTATTATAGATTTTTTATTTGCAATAATTTTAAAATATTTAAAATATAAAATATATTTTTATATTTTAAAAAATATTTTTTAAAATGACGTTTATAATCCATGATAAATTTAGGATTGTAGCATAGTTAATTGTAATGTCAAATGATGACAAAAAAAAAAAAAAAACACAAGCATTTATTTTTAGATGAATTTCAGATGTAAAATATTTTTCTCAACAATGATATTTTTGAAAGGGTCAACAAAATTACTTGAGAGAGGATGAAGAAAATTTTAGTGGGAGAGGATTCAAACTTCACTTTTTTTTTATAATTATGTTATGTATTCTTTTCATTTTTTATTCATAATTATTTTATATTATTTCTTTTTTCTTTTTTTAATGATTTATTAATTTTTTTTATCTTTAATAATTAACATATATTTATTGAACAATGTATTTATTTATTTTTTAATATACTTATTTCTTTTTTAACTACTTAAAAAGTATAATAGAAAAATAAGTTATAAATATTTAAAAAAATTAAAATATTAATTATTTTCTTAATTTTTTGTAATAACCTATGTAAAAAAAAAACGGAAAGAGTAATATTTATTATGATAAATATTAATAAAATTATAGAAACAAGGTAATTAAACTTTTTGTAATTATTCTAAAAACCTTGGCTCCTGCTATAAATTTAGTCAAAGAAATACGAACAACCAAGTTATCCTGTCCCTTCACTATATAAAATTACTAATATACTACATAAAAAGAGAGTAATCTTGTAATTAATTATGAGAAAAATGGGATTGAAGGCCACGCAGATGCTGTTCATGATTGTGTTAGTGAGGATAGGATTAGGAAGTGATGAAGCAGATCATGACCTAGCCATGGATGGCTGCAGAAGCAGTTGTGGGAAAGTTTCAGTTCCATATCCATTTGGCATAGGCAACTCATCCTTCACCGGCGACAGGTGTTTCTTGGCACCAGAATTGGAGCTTAGATGCATCGACGCTGACTCTTTGTACCGCGGTCACGGTAACGTCCAAATTCTGAACATAACCCTCCAAGGTAAAATGGACATGCTTGCAGCCGTTTCTCATGTTTGCATAGACAAATCCGAAGGAAGGGAAGCAACATGGGGTGAGGAATGGACTCTCAGCACTCCGGCTTTCGCAATTTCCAGCGAGGACAACAAGTTCGTGAGTGTAGGGTGCGACACTTATGGCTATCTCAACAGTTACGTCAATGGAACCAAATCCTCAACGGGGTGCTTGACAAGATGTGACAGCAAAGAGAGCATGCAAAGCATGCAGAGTCATGGAAACTGCACGGGAATAGGGTGTTGCCAGGTGAATATACCTCCTGGAATGAAGAACATTAGCATACAAGCCTTCAGCTTCTACAATTTCAATTCCTCCTTCGGCTTCAACAACTGCAGCACTTCCTTTGTTGTCAAAAACGGCAGCTATACTTTCTCCTTGGATCATCTAAACCACATCCCCTTCAACGAGGCACCCTTTGTCGTTGATTGGACTGTTGGAAACGACACGTGTCGAAATTCCGAGGGTACAACCGACAACTATGCGTGCAAGAATAATAGCTATTGTGAGGACTCCAACACTGGATATGGTTACCGATGCAAATGTAGAGCAGGCTTCGAAGGAAACCCGTACCTTCCCCAAGGTTGCCGAGGTAATTAATTATGATAAACATTAACCTTTGTTTGTATAGCTTGCTCTATCCATTAATATTTGCAGGAACCATAGCTACTGAGACGACACACATGGTCACCGATAATGATGTTATTTTTTATTTGGTACTTGCAGACATTGATGAATGCTTGAAAGGTACACATACATGCATAAATGTTAAAAATTGTCACAACACCATCGGAAACTACACATGTTCTTGTCGTAAGTGGCAATCTGGAAATGGAAAGGAACGAGACTGCCGCATACATACCATGGTTGTTGTTGGTAAGCAATTAAGCATATCCAATTTATATAATTTTTCTTTTGTTAGATCTTTAATTAGTTGAACTCTTACTTTTCTTGCATGAATATCACTGATTGAAAAAAAACAAAAAAAACATTATGTTGTGTTTTCACGAAAATTTTTAGAAATTTCAAGAATTTTAAATTTTTAAAATTTTAACTTCTTTGATTATAATTGCTATCAATTTTTAAATATTTTGTTTGCATAAATTAATTTAAATTTCTTAAATTTTAAATTCTTAATTTGAATATGATAATTTAATTCTTACTATGGGTAAAATTGATTTTAAATATATATATATATGTATATATATATATATTGAAATTTTAACACTAAATTTTATAAAAATAAATATTAACCAATTTTAAATATTTCATAATTTTAAAAATTAATTTTAGATCATATTTAATAATTTAAAAAATAATTTCGAATATTTAATAATTAAAAATTATTATTGATATCTTTTGTGTCAACTTTGAAAGAGAGGTGAGGGAGGTAAGAGAAAGGAAAAAAAAAAAGGAGAGGAGACATAATAGAAGATAGAGATGATGAGAAAAGAGAAATAGGAGAGAGATCCTAGACAAAAAATAGATAGGAGTAAGAAGAGACATAAAAGATAGAGAGGGAGAATAAAAAATAGAAATAGGGAGAGTAAACAAAATAAGAGAGAAAAGGAAGAGAAAGGAGGGAGAAAGAAAATAGAGTATGAGAGAAGGAAGAGAAAGAGTTAAAAGGAAACACAAGACATAAGGGAGAGAGAATAAAGTGATAAAAAGCTATATTGGTGAAATAAGAAAAAAAAATATGAAAAATTTTAAATTATTATTTTTTGGAAAGAATTTTAAATTATATTAAATTTTAAATTTTTTGTAAAATTTTCATTCAAATAAAATATTTCATCCTAAAACATTTAAAATTTTTTTTAAAAAAAATAATAATAAATTACTCCATTTAAGTTGTGTTCAACATTTTATGAATGCAGGAGCAGCAGTTGGATTTGTTATTCTATTTGTGGGGACTGTCATGTTGTACTTAATACACCAAAAAAGGAAACTCAGCAAACTAAAAGAGAAATTCTTTCGGCAAAATGGCGGATTGATTTTGCTACAAAAGCTCTCTAGAAGAGAAGATACTTCCCAAATTGCTCAAATTTTCACAGAAGAACAACTAAAGAAGGCCACCAACAACTTTGATGAGACCTCAATCATTGGCAGAGGAGGTTTTGGTACAGTTTTCAAAGGATTTCTAGTAGATAACAGAATTGTAGCTATCAAGAAGTCCAAAATACTTGATGAGAGTCAAAAGGAACAATTCATTAACGAAGTGATTATTTTGTCCCAAATCAATCATAGAAATGTGGTCAAACTTTTGGGATGTTGTTTAGAGACAGAAGTGCCTTTATTGGTGTACGAATTTGTTGAAAATGGTACCCTTTATGATTTTATACACACTGAAGGAAAAGTAAATAATGAAATTTGGAAAACACGTGTAAGGATAGCTGCAGAGGTAGCTGGATCTCTATCATACCTACACTCTGCAACCTCAGTACCCATTATTCATAGAGATGTCAAGACTACTAACATCCTCTTAGATAACACTTACACTGCCAAAGTGTCTGATTTTGGAGCTTCAAGGTTGGTTCCACTTGGTCAAACTGAAATAGCTACAATGGTGCAAGGAACTTTTGGTTATCTAGATCCCGAGTACATGCTTACAAGCCAACTAACTGAGAAAAGTGATGTGTATAGTTTTGGAGTAGTGCTTGTAGAGCTGCTAACAGGAGAGAATCCTCATTCTTTTGGCAAACTAGAAGAGAAGAAAACTCTTGCAAATCACTTTCTTTCTTGCTTTAAGGGGGATTGCTTATTTGATGTTCTTCAAGTTGGCATTGTGAATGAAGAAAATAAAAAGGAGGTCATGGATGTTGCTATTCTTGCTGCAAATTGCTTGAGACTCAATGGGGAGGAGAGGCCTAGCATGAAGGAAGTGGCAATGGAGTTGGAGAGAATAAGGCTAAAGGAGAAACATCCATGGATTAATACCGACCAAAATCTAGAGGAGACCCAACACTTGCTTCATGAAACATCATCTAACACTTATGAGCCTAGTAATAGTAGCAACCATCAATATTCTGGGTACGACAGCATCAAGGGTCGTGTACTAGTTGCTTTGGATGATGGAAGATGATTATGACACGGAAACATATATCAAAACTCAGTTACAACCTTTTGTAGTCGTTATAAAAAGTCCTATATTAATTAGTTATTGTCATGAGTGTTATTGGTGTGTTTTATTATGTTTTCATATATGTTTATGAAGAGAGGTTAAAGTCCTTAGTTATAAAGAAGTTGCCTAGGGATTCAAACTTCAATCAAGATGGGTTGGTTGATGATCTGTTACTTATGTATATGTGCAATGTGATAGTGTATAATTAACATATATTTTAATAAATTGTATTGAACTTATTTGATATTTAGAAGTGTCTTAAATTAATGAATTGGTTGAAATTTATTTTAGTTAATTATTTTGATTTTAATTCTAATTAATTTCTAGTTAATTTTCATAATTTTTATCCACTTTGACATGTTATCTTAAGCATGTCATATCTTGAGATCTTGAATTCATAATTGAACATTTTTAGTGTCCTGTGAAAAGCTAAGACAGAACTCTACATTTTTTTTGTTGAGAGTTTTACCCAATTCAAATCTTTAAAGGTCCAAAAATACACCTCATTAATATTACCCATCCGCACTTTATTTTAGATTTACTTTAAAATCTTATTGTATTAGTAGTCCAAAAGTTCACAAGTGTAAGGAGCACACTTACGACTATCTCAACAATTATCACAACGAAACCCAATCCACAATGGGGTGCTTGACAAGATGTGTGGCAACAAAGAGAGCATGCAAAGCATGCAGAATGGTCGAAACTGGACGAGGATAAGATATATAGGGTGTTGCTGTTAGGTCCAGAGTAGGCTTAATAGTTACTCACAGCTCTAGCGGGATCGGTCGATAACTTCGACACTCTGGTTACACGATTCACGACACATTATGCGACAAGTCGACCTCATCACATCATGCTCGCCGCCTTGGCCAGTCTCAGACAGGGCAACGACGAACCACTGAGGGCGTTCATGGAGCGCTTTGCTAGCATCTCGGTCAAGATCCGCAACCTAAATCCCGAGGTCACCCTTCACGCCATGCTCATGGCGCTCAAGCCAAGACCTTTCGTCGACAACCTGTGTCAGTGACCTCTCCAAGATATGGACGAACTCCGTGCCTGAGCTGCAGGGTACATTCAGATAAAGGAACACACCGCTTTTCACGACCAAGTTCGTGGAAAATCACAGGCAAAGCCGGACCACGATCACAAGGATAAGGTGAAAGTCACCAATGATAGCCAGTTCAAGAAGGCTGCTAGGGCAAACAAAGGAGGGAGGTATGACTTCTACACCCCCCTGAATGCGCCCCGAGTACACATCCTGGAAGAGGCCAGCAACACCAATCTGATCACTCTGCCACCGCCTTGACACAGTTACAACAGCGCGGACAAGTCCAAGCATTGTCGATACCATAGAAACTATGGTCTCACAACCGAGGAGTGTTGCACGTTCAGAGACCGTATTGAGGAACTCGTCCAAGGAGGGCATCTCGGACAGTACGTCTAACGGCAGCAATCTCATAGAGGAGGTTACCATGGACGAGGACGAGGACGAGGCTGAGGTTCTGGCACTCACACAGACCAACCCTTCAGATCTTAGTAAAACACTGGCAGAGCGGTGCAGGCCGAGGTAAATCAGGATATAGGGTCGGCTCCCTTGCAAGGAGTCATCAACACAATTACAAGTGGCTTCGCAGGGGGAGGCTCTAGTAGCTCGGCACGCAAAAGGCACTTGCAGAGCATCAACAATGTCCACACTGACACCTCGGCCCCGCACCGCAATACTCCAGCCATCACCTTCATAGACGATGACTACACCGACGTTTGTCCAAACCAGGACGACCCTATGGTCATCGCTGTGGAAGTAGCAAATTGGGAGGTCCACAAGGCACTGATAGACCAGGGAAGCTCAATTGATGTCCTATACTGGCCGACGTTCCTAAGATTAGATATTCCTTACTCCCTCATTCAACCTCACACAGAACCCCTAGTCAATTTTACAGGAGAGTGAGTTCACACTTGAGGGTACATTGATCTGTTGACAACCTTTGGGACCCCTCCTGACTCAAGGAGAATCATGGTCAGATACCTCCTTGTTAAGGCCAACACAACCTACAATATCATCATCGGAAGGCTGACGTTGAACCAACTCGGAGCTGTGGTGTCTACCCCGCACCTGACGATGAAATTCCCAGGGAGCAATGGCAAGATTATCTCAGTCAGGGCAAACCAGAAGAAAGCTCAGCAATGCTATGCCGAGAGCCTGGAGGTCTTGCCATCAGAGGAGCGCCACCGAGGTGACCCCCCTACAGTAGCTCACATAGCCCAGGTTGACATCATTGACCTGGACCCAAGGTCGGAATCCCATGATGAACGGCCAAGCCCCATCGATGACCTCGACGACCTTCAAGTCGGTAAACTCCCTGGATAGTGCACGAAGATAAGCCGACAGCTAAACCCAGAGCTGCGGCAGCGGCTCATAGAGGAAATTTGTAAAAATACTGATCTTTTTGCATGGTCGAGTGCCGACATGCCAGTTATTGATCCTAACCTCATCTGCCACAAGTTAGCCATTCACAAGGAAGCAAAGTCGATTGCTCAGAGAAAAATGAAAGTCAGAGGGGAAAGAGGCGATGGCATCATCGCCGAGACACAAAAGCTGATGAACGTGGGCTTCATCCGTGAAGTCAGATACACCATGTGGTTGGCGAACATGGTACTAGTAAAAAAGAACTCGGGGAAGTGGCGCATGTGTATCAACTATACCGACCTCAACAAAGCATGGCCCAAAGACTCGTACCCCCTACCGAGTATCGATAGGTTGGTTGATGGCGCCTTCAGCCATGCCCTCCTCAGCTTCCTCGACGCATATTCTGGGTATAATCAGATCATGATGTACCCACCAGACAAGGAACACACAGCCTTCATCACTGATCACGCCAACTTTTGCTATCACGTGATGCCTTTTGGCCTTAAAAATGCCGGAGCCACTTACCAGCGTTTGATGGATAAGGTCTTCCAGCACCAAATTGGGAGAAATATGGAGGTATACGTGGACGACATGGTCGTCAAAACACTGTCAGCCGAGGCTCATGCTGCCAACTTGGCTGAGGTATTCAACCAAATCTGAAAACACAACATGCGCCTCAATCCAAAAAAGTGTGTTTTCGGCGTCCAAGGAGGTAAATTTCTTGATTTTATGATCATCAGCAGGGGAATTGAAGCCAACTCGGAGAAGTGCAAAGCCATTATATAGATGTATAGTCCTTAGACTGTCAAGGATGTCCGACTCTTGGCAAGAAGGTCAGTCTCTCTTTCTCGCTTCATCCCTAGGTTGGCAGAGAAAGCAGGGCCCATCTTCACCCTATTGCGAAAGCCAAAGAACTTCGAATGGACTGACCAATGTGAAGAAGCTTTCAAAAGCTTCAAAATTTTCCTCACCACTCTGCCAGTCCTTCAAAGGCTGGATCATCACTCTGACCTCCTCCTCTATCTGGCCGTGGCAGAAGGCGCAATGAGAACAGTAATAGTGCAAGAGCACCACAAAGTGCAAATGCCCATTTACTTCATCAGTCGAGTCCTCCAAGACACGGGAGAAACGATATTAGACGATCGAGAAGCTGGCACTAGCACTCGTCACTACAGCTCGGCGCCTCTGACCTTACTTCCAACGTCACTAGGTGGTCGTCAAAATCGACAACCCAATTAAGTAGATACTGAGAAAGCCAGAACTCGCCGAGCGCATGATAGCATGGTTAGTGGAGCTATCCGAGTTCGGCATCCAATATGAAAGTTGAGGCCCCTTGAAAACTTAGTGCCTAGCAGATTTCGTGGCCGAACTCACCCCAATCTCGGCAGAAGAAAAACAGGTATGAACTCTACACGTTGATGGATCTTCCAACTCTAAAGGTGGTGGTGCATGTATTATCTTGAAAGGACCAAACAAAGTCACAGTAGAGCAATCTCTTAAGTTTGGCTTCAAGGTCACCAACAACCAGGCAAAATATGAAGTGTTGCTAGCAGGTTTGAGGTTGGGTCATGACCTTGGAGCACGAAGGGTGAACTGTAACAGCGACTCAAAGCTCATGGTGGAGCAGCTTAGTGGGGTATACCAGACCAAGGACACCCTACTGTAAAGGTACTTTCATGTAGCGTCCCAACAAATCTCATCTTTCGATGAATTCACCATACACCATGTGCCCCGATCTCCTGTCTAAACTCGCCAGTACAAAACACCCTGGGCAACATCAGACCATCATCCAGAAGACCCTGAATTCACCAGTCTAGACGAGAAAGTCGTCAACACTAGTAATAGTGAAGACCAAGGATGGATGACAGGTATTTGGAACTACTTAAAGGAGGGAACTCTACCCGAAGATAAAGACGAAGCTAGGAAGATGAAGGTAAGGTCAGCCAAGTTCGTCATCATTGGAGCCGAATTGTTCAAATGCGACATCTCCACTCCTCTGTTAAAATGCCTAGCAGAGTCCCAAGCCACCTATGTCGTCGAAGAGATCCACCGAGGGATATGTGGGATGCACTCTAGGGCACGCTCGATGGTGACCAAGGTACTCCAGGCTGGGTACTATTGACCCACACTGAAGTCGGATTGCCAAGCTTATGTACAAAGGTGCAAGGAATGTCAGCAGTTTGGTAACGCACATCGACAACCACCTGAAGTCCTCCACTAGATGATGTCATCGTGGCTTTTTGCCCAGTGGGGAATGGACATCCTCGGACCATTTCCCCCCGCGAAAGGTCAACTCAAATTCCTCCTAGTGGCAATCGACTACTTCACCAAGTGGATCGAGGCATGCCCACTCACGAAGATCACTACCGAGAATGTGCAAAAATTTACTTGGAAGAGCATCATTTGCAGGTTTGGCATCCCACACTCCCTCATCACTGATAATGGCAGACAATTCATCGCGCATAGCTTCGAGAACTTCTTTCGAGAGCTCGGAATCAAGCACCTTCCAACCTCGGTGGAACATCCCCAAACCAATGGCCAAGCCAAAGCCGCGAACAAAGTAATACTTTGAGAGCTCAAGAAGCGGCTAGGAAGCGCCAAAGGACAATGGATCGACGAGCTCCCCAACATTCTCTGGGCGTACCACTATACCCTCCAATCAACAACACAGCAAATGCCTTACAGGCTGACTTACGGAGCCGATGCCATGATCCCAGTGGAGGTCCGCGAGACTTTTCATCGATGTCATACCTTCGATAGTGAGCAAAATGCTCAAGAAACACAA